GAAAGAAGTCTCTAAAAGTCGTAAAGTGATCTCTATCTCAAGAGAGAGAGAGAGTAGAAGGGGGCCATCTCATCATCTATCCTCAAACTCGACTCCCGTCCGCATCGCTGCTGCTGTCCACGACCCCGCCAGTGTGAGGCTTGCTGCCGCTACCCGCCGCGGCAGTGGTGGCGGAGCCATCGTCGTTGGTGCTGGTGCTGCTGCTTGGGGAGTGAGAAGAGGAGACGGGTGCTGTCTGGAACCCGTAGCCCGGGTGGGACACGTTGAGGCAGAACACGGCGAGCACCATCATGCTGTACAACGGGCGGTCAGCGTCAGTCCCCTCTCATAGTAGTGCTTAGGTATTTGGCAAGTAGTAGGGGACAGGGCTGAGTGAGAGTGGAAGACAAAGGCACTCACCAAGACTCGAGCGCGATGAAGAGGTTCTCCTCGCGGAAAAACTGCGAAAAGTAGCCCTCGCTGAGCTCCTTGATGCGGTACGCGCAGCGCACGAAGACGAAGAGCGTTGCGAGGAAGAGGAAGACCATGAACACCTTGAGCGAGCGGGCAAAGTGGCGCACGGGCTGCTTGGACCCGGCGGTCGTCGTCGTCGTCTTCTCGTTCTCCCGCATGCCCGTCGCGGTGGTCCTCCCGCTGCTGCCAGAGGACGCCGACGACGAGAAGAAGGAGGCCAGGAACCCGCAGCTCCGCAGGTAGTCGATGAACAGCAGGGTGAAGGCGACGAGGGTGACGACCTGGAAGACGAGGCCGGCGAGGGAGATCTTGACGCCGCGGTTGACGGCGGACTCGGTGCGGGCGACAGAGGACAGGGCGCCGCCGACGGCCTGCAGGACCAGCGAGATGATGTCGCAGGGGATGAAGACCCAGTAGAACAGGCGCGGGTCGAAGCGGGACTTGGAGGGGTCGATGAAGTTGATGCTGCAAGAGGGTGGGTTAGGGAAGAGTCGTTTGTGGCGGTCTTACACATGATGGGCATCGGAGGGGGGCTATCTCGAGAGTCTGCAGCGGTGGTCCCTTGACATCACTGGGGGACGCTTGAAGGGAAAAATGAAGGATGTCCAGGGACGGATTGAGGATGACATACGTTTGTGAGAGAGTGATGTAGATGGCGGCGCAGAAGAACACGGGCGCCGTCGTCACGCAGACTGCGATCAGAGGACAAGTCAGCACATCAATCTCACGAGCCCGAACTTTGCCATTCCACAACATCTAGGCTTTTCTCCAGCCCTGGTTTCGCCCTGCTTTCTTCGGACCCTCCAGACCAACAATTAAAATAGAAGACGTACTGATCTGGACCAAGAACGAGATGAACCCGAACGGGTTGTCGTGCAGCATGAGGCGCCCGACATAGCCGACGATCTCATCGGCGCAGCCGAGGACGATGAGGGTCATGTAGCCCCATGCCGGGCGGCCCTTGCGCCAGAAGTAGACGCCCTGGCACAGGTGTGCGAGGAGGGACAGGCCGAAGAGGGCGAGGAAGGCGGCATTGGCGGGGATGCTGGGCTGGTAGCCGACGACGGACCACTCGGGCTTGCACAGCACGAGGGTGCAGTTGGCGTCCGGGCCGAACGAGATGAGGCCCTTGGGGAGTTTCGACATTGCTGTTGTGTGGTGTGCGGTGCGTGGTGGTGGTGGTGGTGGTGGTGGTGGTGTTTCTTAGTGAAAGGGTGTCGTCACCGTTGACGCACGCTAGAGGTCGCTCCCGCTCGCGGTGCTCTGGAGGCGCAAGAGACACAACTTTGTCGTCGCAAAAGGCTGTCAAAGGTCGTGGCTTAGGTGTGTGACTGGCGGAGGATGTCGAGAGGTCCGAGTCAGCCTCCGAGCTGGGTGTTGAGGGGGCCAGTTATAATAATCAATCCTCGGCCTGCAGGGTGTGAGTTGCAGGCATTACAGACAGCCATGAACAAGCCTTGCCAGGCTGCCGAGAGGCACCGGGGCCAAGACTTGGTCCTGCGCGCGTGGCAGAGGGCGGGCAGACAAGTCCCGTCCTCCGGGGCCACGGCCGCGGGCACCGGCCTCGTCTGGGACCGTCCCATCAGCCAAGAGAGAGTGTGCTGCTGCATATGGAATCGGCCCAGATCTGGATCGAGACAAGGGGCTGTAGACCATGCAGAGCAGGACCCCCCTCCCCTGGCCCCAGCCCAGGGCTGATCCGATCCCGAGCGCCTGGTGTGGGAATGCGAGAGCTGATTCGTGTCGGCCGCAGCACACAGGCAGCAGCTTATTGTCGACACACCACGACGGCCGGCAACTCTCCGGGCGCCCAATGGCGGCAACGAGGCCCCCGAGCCGTCGTCATTGCTCAGGCTGCGCAGCACAGAACCGAACGGCATTCCAGTGTCCTCGGGTCCCGCGACAGCACAAAGATTGCGTTTCTCAAGCCTCATCCCCACTGGGCGGAGCCAGCTTAGCTCTGCCTCTGGACACCCGGGTCCCGCGGCTGCTGTGGGCCATGACATGATCGGCCTGCAATAGCGCCGGTCCTCCGGGAGCCGGCTGCCCTGGTGGTGTCTGGCTGTCTGTACTCTGTTCCCCATCGGCAAGCCACCCATCACACATCCACGGGCCCAAGCCACAAACCCTCCACCACCGTTGTTCGTAGGTATATAAAGCCGGGGAACCCCCCCCTACCCTACCCTCTCCCTCGACATCTTGACCCTACGACGCACGAGCTGAGGGCCGGGGCCAGGGGCCCGTCAATGATTCAAGGGGCGAGGGCGCTCGACTGGCTGAGTGAGCATGGTGATTGGGTATCTTCCATGGTTAAATCATACTCTTACGCTCCCACGTGGTGTTTTCCCACAGTCGAATACCTGCAATTTCCGTTTTTGGTCGTCCTTCAACGGCCTCCTAAAGTCGGCCCGACGCAGATTGCCATATCGTCCCCGCATGAAATCGAAGCTAGATATTGGTCATGTTCCGAGACTGCGCATCCATGAAAGCTTGCTTTGTCTTGACAAGCGGCTGGCCTCTGTCACGATCACACCCCGTGGGATGAGCCCCATGCTCCCGGTAGGAGAACCCGTGATGTTGATACGTGGAGCGACGAGTGGCATCATGTGCGGGACAACGAGGACAGAGCCTACACGAGCCCTCGATGCACGCGCTTGTCCCCTGGGCGAGGCTTGACATCTGCACAATATCCAGCGGCCTGGCCTGTACGTCTGTCTCCATGCACGAGTTGCGAGCCCCATCGGGATGAGAGGGGATGAGCAAAGCGCTGAGCTGCCTGCACGCTTTCCAGCGCCAGTTGTCTTCAGCAGAGAACATCAGACCGTGATTTGTCGAATGCAGTTACTTCGTCGACGAGATGCAAACCCAATTGCATCAGTTGCTGTCAGAGGCCGTCTCGTGTGTTGTCCGACCTGCGTGTTGATGGCAGCTAAGGTCATCGTAAGTACTTGGTGGACGTCGCCGGTGATCCATAAGTCCTGCGGCTCACGTGGCATTCCGGTGCTGCTACAGCCTCCCATGCGAAAAGCTCTTGTATCCACTTCGCCAGTTGAGGATGTCATCTCTCTTCGAGGTCCTTACGAGCTCTGCCGATATCCTTCTTGGCTCTTTTCTTCTGAGCCTGGTCGCGTGGCCAGATCCATATCCATGTTTTCTGCGTGGTCGTCCTATGCGTTGCCTTGTCCTTGTCTCCCGGGACATTACCCCGGGCGGCAGAAGTTGTGTGAGGGTTTCGAGCATATGTCGGGCGTGCGGACCGCCAACCCTCTCAAGACGTGATTTGCCTGAGCCAGACGGTGTGGCGTTGGTGGTTTGGGTTCGCCGTGAGATGCTGTCGTGTTTGGTGTCGAGTCTGGCTCGAGCGCGTGACCTGTTGTTGGCTCTCTTCCACGTTTCATCTCGGCAGCCTTCGAGTCCACACTTGGCGGTGAAGAGTGTTGGGAAAGGCTCTGAGGTCTCGATGGCCCGCTCAGGGCAGGCTGGCCTGCATGTCGAGCTTGATTGCTGTACGTTGTCGTCGCGAGGGAACGCGAAGACGGCGACGCGAGGGCTTTGCCTGTCGTCGCTGTGGCCGAGCAGTGAGCAGCTTGCTAATCGGACAAAGGTCTGACATAGCAGTCTCTTTCCGTCCGTATCTGTGTTCTTACCACATGATCTTCTTTGCCTCTTGAGCCATGGGTAGTATTTCTGCTCTCGTGGATTTTTGTCATGGGGGTGGGACAAGGAGCGGACGATCTGGATGCCTTTTTCGCATTCGTGCCAAGTACTTGCATGCGTGTCAAAGCCCTCTGACAGAAAGCCGCCTGAGAGGGAGTCGTGTAGCAAAACCCAGTCAACAACCCAGGGATGTCGTGAACCACAAAGCAATTTGGTGCCTCTCCTATATATGTCGAACTCTTTGTGCATCGACCTCACTAGACATTGGTCACCCACAACAGCGAAGCCCGATGGCCTAGAGCGCAGAGCAGCGACATTACAATTGCTTCTGTCTTTGAACACACGGGACTCATAGAGTGGTGTTCGTCCGTGGCGGAGGAAACCAGCAGGGGGTAAAGGGGAGATGAGGCCATGGTTGCACGGCCGGTGATCACTGTTGCGTGGCTCAATGATGCCGATTTTCACGCACTCATTAGCGCTGCCAAGATTGCATTCTGTCAGGTTTCGGACCTAGATAGTACCAGTTCACGTACATTTATTGTGTGGTGGGATCCAGTTGTCACCTTGACCTTCTCCTTTTGTGGACAACATCAGTCCGGATTAACACCACCTCCAACTCGGGCGTTTCCGAGTCCGCTTGTGGTGCCTTGAAAGTCATGTACACGTCGGCTTCGTGAAGAAAGGGTTATGAAAAGGCAATTTGAAACAAGGGAAGTCGAGAACCATTCCCTCAATAGAAACAGCCATGCGCAGCTCCACCAGACTGGGTACGTGGGTTTTCCAGTGGGAGACATGCACAACCACTGTGCTATGGCTATATATATCGCTCTAAGAGCCGGCTGTTTCAACGACAACCCTTGACGGACAGTCCAACTGTTCTCAAGCCAACTCCCTTGGTGGTGTAGTTGGTTATCGCGTCAGACTGTAATTGTTCTTCCCTCACGGGAATCACCATAATCTGAATGTCACCGGTTCGATTCCGGTCCGAGGGAATACCACGGACACGTTCCATCTTTTTTGCCGCATTGCGACAGCCTTGTCATCCCGTTAATGAAGCCGTACCGCCATGTTGAGTCGCGATATCGTGCAGGTGAGCCCAGCCAGGCAGCCTGAAAGTCGTGCCTGCCTTCGGAGGTCTGTACCTGTGTGCCCTTCCTTCCTGTGTCTGGGGCGACGACAGGGCCCACCCGGTGTTTTCTACGCCAAAGTTACTTGGGTGCTCAAGGATTATGTGCCGATACTCTTTTTTTTTTTTCTTCTTGCCCGCGGAATGCGAGGGTGTATGATTTGCGCAGTGAACCCACCGAGTTCCGCAAACTGACGTCTTCAAGATTCATCGCTGTTTGGCACACGAAGGAGGAGTGACGAAGTCAGGGGTCAAGAGGCTTGTTCGCTCGGCGGCTCATGCCCATCTTTGGCCCGTCCTGCCACGCGCACCCACAGCAGTCTACCTGCGCTACGCTACTCAGTCCGCTCAATCGACAAAGTGACCAAAGTCGTCGTCAGCCCAAGGGGGCTGTGTGCGGCGAGTGCGTACGTGTGCAGCACCAAAGGGAGACAAGTGCAAAAAGGACGGACACCTCGACAGGCCCCGGTGAGCAGCGGCCAAATGAGCACCACCACTACCGAGTTGCCGACCTCCGGAGCCAACAACACCCTCACCATGAGCTCCCACAACACGAGACTGAGGGCGTCGCAAGCAAGATCCATGGTGGTGCCAAGCTTTGCCGATCTTCCGGGCCACGACAAGGCCCCGGACCAGCGAGACGCAGCGACCCACCGCAGAGTGACACGGGGGACAAAACAAGCATTTCGTTCCAAGAGTCCAAGACCAAAGGGACCAAAACCCAGCGCGTGTCACAGGGCACGGACAGGGCGGGCGACACTATTGAGTACCAGACGAGGCCGGCCGTTGGAGAGGGACCTAACGCTACACATAGTTAGCCTCTCATGCAAATTACGAACAGTAGTCGCCTCCAGGCGTCCGCCCTTGCATCTGACCCCCAGCGGCCGCGACGTCAGTTCAACCTGCAGTACCGTTCGTGTTCCTAGGGTTCTTGCCCTGTCGGCACGGCTGGGCGTGAAGGAGAACATCTTGCAACACGTCCCGCGATCTTTACGGACCGACCGTGTCGCTGCGGCGTGGGGTCTTTGCAGGCCCATGCTCTGACATGGAGATGACGACAATTGGTCCCCCGAGATGGCGCATGCGTCGCTGTGTACGTCGAACAAGGCTGTGTCAACTGCCGATCAACCTGATACCCACTGGTTTTGGTGGTCCCAGCTGGATGCTGGCGTGTCGAAGGTTTCAAAGCCAGGCACATGAGACTGCATCTTCGGATCTTCAACTTGGCCCTAACGGCTGCTGCCAAATTCGGGCTGCTTTCCATCTGGTCATAATATCCTGCGGCTGCATGTTGAACGGCTGCCTATTGCACCCTGGCATGATCCACCCTGGGCTGAGTGGCTTGTCTGTGTGCCAGCCGAGGCTCGTGTCGCCTTTCGCATCAGGTCCTGACGGTGCTCAGCCGCCCGGCTGTCAGTCGTGTAGACTAAACTGTCCCGACCAGAAAGGTCGACATAAAAGAACCGAAGAAGACGACCCAGAGCAAGACTACAGGCTGGGAAAGACAAAGAATGGACCAGCCGCAACGTCCAGCCCTCGAAGCGAGACAATGCATGCCCCCCAGCACCACAGGCTCCGCTCTGGGGCGTCGTCAGCGTCCAGGTCAGCTTCCGGAGCTTGAATGCGCGCGCTAGGGCTGGCTGTTGCTGATGGTCCGAATGGGGCAGCATTCGTAAGAATTGGGGTGCTTCGAACAAAGCTGGGTCGCAGTGGCGTGCCTAGAGTAGAGCAAGGGCGGCAGAGCCGTACTCGGTCCTGCAGAGGCCGAGAATAAACACTCGCTGCTACCCAGCCGAAGACGTCTTGTTCTTCTTTTCTCTTGGCTGTCTGTCTCCTCTTGTTTTCCTTACCCCTCACTCCCTGTTGCTGCCTGCCGGTCGTGTCGTGTTCTGTAAACTCCCGGCCAGCTCTCATTCGCTTTAGCTGGCAATCTCCTGTATCATTGACTCTCTGCAGCCGAGCAACACCAACACCTCGCCGCCTCTCTCCTTGCGAGCTCGACCTCTTTCTCTTATTCAACATTCATCCTTCCTGACATCATCACATCGCGCACGGTTCGACGAGATTGCCCACCCCCAGCCATGTGGTCCGCCTCCGCCATCCCCATGGTGCTTGGCGCCTTGGCTTCCCTTGCAGGGTCCGCCGACGCCCAGAGCTGGAAGACGATCCCAACCATCCAGGCCGTCGGCCAGCATTTCTTCTACTCGAACAACGGGTCGCAATAGTAAGTCGCTGTCGCATTGAGATCATACTATCCATGATCCCGGGATATCCGCCAAAACGAGCCCTCGACGACTAACTCGGAACCCCCCACCAGCTTCCTCAAGGGTGTTGCATACCAGCAGAACTACCAGCCCAATGGTCAGGTCTCGTCCACCGCCAAGTACACGGATCCCCTTGCCGACGGGAGCCTCTGCAAGCGCGACATCCCGTTCATGCGGCAGCTCTTTACCAACGTCATCCGCGTGTACGCCGTCGACCCGACCGTCAACCATGACGACTGCATGGAGCAGCTGGCAAGCGCCGGCATCTACGTCTTCGCCGACCTGAGCGAGCCCTCGCTGTCGATCCAGAGCGACAACCCGCAGTGGAACGTGCCCCTGTACGCCCGCTACACAGCCGTCATCGACGCGCTCGCCAAGTACAACAACGTCATCGGCTTCTTCGCCGGCAACGAGGTTGTCAGCGCCGGCAACCAGACCGCCTCCGCCGCGTTCGTCAAGGCCGCTGTCCGTGACACCAAGGCGTATATCCGGTCCCAGAAGTACCGCACCTCCCTCGGCGTCGGCTACGCCACCGCCGACGTGCCCACGCGCGACGACCTGGCCGCGTACTTTGCCTGCACGCCCACCTCCGACGGCAGCCTGACCTCGATCGACTTCTGGGGCTACAACGTCTACTCGTGGTGCGGCAACAGCAACTACGCCGCGTCCTCGTACGGCGAGCGCGAGGACTTTTTCCGCAACTACCCGGTCCCCGTCTTCTTCGCCGAGTACGGCTGCAACGAGAACATCCCCGGCGGCCCATATAACCGGCCCTTCACGGAGGTCCCCGTGCTGTACGGCAACATGACGGACGTCTTCTCAGGCGGCATCGTGTACCAGTACTTCGACTCGGAGAACAAGTACGGCCTGGTCAAGATCGACGGCAGCAACAACGTCTCGCCGTACCCCGACTTCACCTCGCTGCGCAACCAGCTCGCGACCGTCAGCCCGAGCCCGACGCAGTCGAGCGCGTACAAGCCCACCAACACGGCGCCCGCGTGCCCGAGCGACTTCTCGACGTGGAAGGCCGTGGCCACCGCTCTGCCGCCCAACGTGAACCCGCAGCTTTGCGCCTGTGAGGTCGCCGCGCTGCAGTGCGGCATCGCGTCCGACAACGCCGAGGACTACGGCGACGTCTTCGGCTACATCTGCGGCGCCAACAGCAAGTACTGCGACGGCATCGCGCACAACGCCACCACGGGCACGTACGGCGCCCTCAGTGGCTGCAGCGCCAAGCAGCAGCTCGCCTGGGTCGCCAACCAGTACTACCTCGGCAACAACGCGAACCCGTCGGCCTGCAACTTCAACGGCGTCGCGACGGTGCAGAGCGCCGCGACCGCTGCCAGCTGCTCCTCCTTACTCTCGGCGGCCGGGACCGCAGGCACGGGCTCCGTTCCCGCCCCGACGGGCCAGCAGGGCACCGCCGTGGTGGGCGGCGGCGTCGGCGGCGCGACCGGCGTGGCGAGCAGCTCATCATCCGGCGTTGCTGCGCGCGTCGGCGGTGGGCTGGGTCCTGCCGGTGGCTTCGCTGGCGGCTTTGTGGATGTCGGCAAGGCATTGTTCATCGGATATGTCGCGCTGGCGGTTGTCTCGGGCGCGGGTATCCTGCTTCTCTGAGGAAGAGGGTTTAGATGGTTCATTGATCGCTGGAGCAAATCTTTTCATTACAAGAGGAAGAGGATTCGAAATGAAGCCTACGGAAGCCAGGAGATTTTGAATAACCAATTTTTTTAATTCACAGCGAGAGAGAAGAAAGAAGAATACATAACATTACACACACACACATATGCGACCCGAGTCAACCTTGCCCGCTCATCTGCTTGCATGTCACTGCCGCACACGTGTTAAGCTGCGGATCCCGTGGGGCTTGCGACCGACTAGAGGACGAGAAGCCCCGATGAGGGCATGGATATGATTCCTGTTCGTTATCAAAAACGATCCTCGACCCGTGGCCAGTCTCTCCCTCCCGCTGATCACTCCGCTGGTCTGTCGTGCTGTATCTGGACTCCGGGCAGGGCTGTCTTGCTTCTTTCTTCCTAGTGAGACGTTTTGGCAGGTCTGTTAGATTCAGATGGACGACTGCCAGTTTTTACTTGTTTTCTTGTCCTTAAGGTGTGATCCACGGGCATGATGGGAACGTCACCACCTTCTAACCCCACGACCTCATAGACGTACGTGAGGAAGAAGAGAAAAGAAGAAAGAAGGCAGCTACAAAAAGAAAGAAGAAGAAAAGAAAGGATCAAGACCCAAGAAAGGGTCGCGGGGCCTTTCTGATGCCATCAAGAGCTCTTTAGAAGGTCCTTCGGGCAAAACCAGACCGTGAACCGAGCCTTGGGAATGGAAGGGACACCGCCGCGACGTACAGCAAGGTGAAGAGGGTACCGGACACGGAAATAAAGGGCGGAGGGAGAGAGGTCCTGCCCGGATCCGGAGAAAGCGCTGGGAAGGCGAACTACATCCACCTCCCGCGCCCTGACGTTTACACCACACGGCATCTCTCAGCAGCGGGCGTGTGGCACACCGCAGTTTTATATCTGGCCCGTCGGAATCAGTGGTTGAGTTCCGTCAGGACTACTACGATTTTTCTTTTGGAGATCAATTA